TTCAACCTCTATGGAATCTCTGTTAAGAGGGGAATAAAGCACCATATTGCATTAACATCAGGCATTTCTTAGATTATTTCATGATATTTTGCAGCAAGGTTTGGGAGAGACAATCAGATGGGTGGGGTTTTTTCAGTTTTCAAAAACTGAAGAGATTTTGCATCTACATATTCTTCCTAATATTGCTGCTTGAATGAAGTGAATATTATCTAGGCAGTATCATCCCATATTACCCAGTTGTACTCCTCCATTACTGAATGTGAAACTGTGAGTGTGTATATACCTGCACATGCATGTATTTTTGAGGAGGCAACTTTGTTCATTACTTTTTGGTGGGTTTAATATGTGTGTGTGTGTGTGTGTGTGTGTGTGTGTGTGTGTGTGTGTAGACTTTCTATGGACTCCATGAGGAGGGACATCGGTATTTTCTTTTTTCATATAGTGTTATCTCAGCATAGAGAAATAGCTTCCGAATCAAGCCATCTGGGGTAGACAGTTAAACTGGGAATTATATATTATATATAGAAAGTGCCTATATATAAAGCGCATTATATAGAAAGTGCCTTATATAGAAAGTGCCTTTTGTATCATTTGGTGGTTTTGGTAGTATTTTTAGGGTGCAGTCCTATACACCCTTATCTGTAAACACACATATCTGGAGATACATTCCACTGAAATCAGCTGAGCTTCATTCAGAATAGATATGTATAGGGTTGTGCCATTGGGCAGAAATGAAGTCTAAGTATGGTCAATTGAATTCTCTCTCACATGTTATTCACATTATCCTTGTGCAACTATTTTTTTGCTCCCTCTATCTACGGCTACCCTCTATCACTGTTAAAGTTTAGACTATAAGCTTTGGGTGTGCAACTCAGTAATGTTCTAGTTCTGGAAGAATACACAGATGGGTCAGAAATTGCAGTCAAACATAACTATGTATGAGTACTAGTTAGTGTATGATGGGGTTGGGACAAAAAAGCTGGATACCTAGACTCGGCTAGGTCACACGCCCTCTTCTCTGATGAGGCAGGAAGCGAAGCCTTCTCTTCCTGTTCCTTCTCTCTCCCCACTATGTCAATGGCAAAGGAAGACGTATCTAAGCAAAATCCAAGCTTAGATCACTTGTTTGAAACTATCTTTATTTTCTACCCAAGCGTATTCTGCCTGTGTTCTCTTTGCTGCTGCTTAGATAAATGCATTAATCTGCCTTTGGAATGTTTTGTAAGTAAAGCTTTTAAAACTTACTTTACAGTGTGTGGTCCTGTTCATGCTAAGAGGGGTAGAAAGAGGGGAGTGCTGTTTGCAAGACTAAATGAGATAAATGTGTCTAACAAACTATATTCCTAATGTTATACTTCTGCTTGACTTTAAACTCTGCTACTGGGTGCTCTCCCCTGCTGCAGAGTTCAGCCTGTGTTTAGCCCTGTGTTTTGAATCCAGGCACACAGCTGATTATTTTGTTATTTACCCCACACATTTGGGTCACAGGGATTCTGTTTTCTCTCACACTGCAAGCCCTGGTTTTCAGCATGACACAGCAATCAAATGTAATCACCCAACACCAGGTGAAGGTATAAAGCACTCAGAGTTCAGCTCACACTTATGTGACACACAGATTCGCTTCACATGAAGTGGTGGAAGATGAGAGAGAGAGAGAGAGAGAGAGAGAGAGAGAGAGAGAGATGGTCAGAAGTTTCCAATGTGTTAAAGGGAAAGTGGTACTGAGAAGGGAGAAAGTTAAAAATCCTTCTGAGTACATGCAAGCTGAGATCCACAAGTAACTTGAGCTTACCTCAAACTATAAAAAATGCTGCTGTCATTACAGACAGCTGGCTTTTCTTACATAAGGTTCACTACCACCAGTTACAAAAAAATAAACATGTTACATGATACAGAAAAATAAAGTAGAGGTGTTCCATTTCCTCCAGTGTTTTGTAAGATGCTTTCTTTAGTCCTCTCATGAAAATAAAAAATAGGCTTCAGCTATTGGTGCAGAAATGTTATATAACAGTTTGCAGCCTTTATTGCAGCCAATATGATGGAACGCTAATGCTGTGATATTGAGTTTTTGTATGAAGAAACTGAATCCCTATAATATTTATTTTATTTTAAATAAATGATTTTGTTATTCTGAATCTGGTAACTTTATCTGACTTTGGTGTTCTATAGATTTTTAAAAAATCAAATAACATTCTGACATATTGAAAATTTTATATAAAATAAATTAATGCAAACATTTAAGAATATTTCAGAAATGGAAACAACAATGGTCCTCTTTGAAAGTGGTATTATTCAATATGTCATTCTTTCCTGTAGGCAGTAAATTGGAAATGCTACAGTGAAAGCATTTGAATGTATTGATATGCTGCATTTGCTACAAACTCATAGAAACATTTCTACTTTAGTTTCATGTGTCCTCTGTTCTACCTATTGATGTAATCATTGTCAAAACACTTGTTCAGTAGCCTTTAGAATGCAAAGGGAGCTTTGAATATATGCTAAGCTAGATAATAAACCCGCATTATCCCAGCTTTTGTTGCTAGTACAAAAAAGAGCATTTCAGAAATAAATCCATCACTTTTACTGCCTTTTACTGTCTTTTTTCACTTTAAACTTCACAATTTAAAAATTTAAACCACTCAGATAAAGTGAAATCCATCTTATCTTTTCCTTCTTTAGTTTCCAAAATATGACATAATGTTGAAAGAATATGTGCTCTATTTTAACTGCCATGCAGATAATATACCTTTAAAAGAACATAGATGTTCTTTGGTACAAAAAAAATTAACCTTGGTTTCTTACTTTACGATAACCCCCCCCCCCAAACCAACCTTTTCCAAAACAACCATTGTCAGTGAATGCGGTCTTATCTCAATACAATCTAGTAAGTGCTATATTGAATTGATTTGGACTGATGAGCTCCCAAGAACGAGCTCAGACTGCTAAAGAAAAAGGAAAGGTGTGATGGATGATGAATTCAGGACCTAGGCGGGGAAAATCAGGTTTAGTTTTAGGCAGTATAAAAGAATTTTAAGATATAGAAGGAGCACTTGCTGAAGAGGTCAGCTAGGTCATTGGGGACTGTAAAGAAAAAGTGTGGAAGAAAAAAGTTCCGCCGCAAGTTTGGCCAGGATACAAGAAAAAGAGTAGTGACAGAATTGGGGCTATAATAGTTATTACGACTCAGTTGTTGGCAGCTAATTGCCTACTTCATCTCTGGCTTCCCCCACCCCGCATAATTAATCACATGATGTGGGGCACACAAACCACTTGAATGGCAATGCCCATCAACTTTTTTTGGGGGGGTGCTCAATTATTTTATTGGGGGGGGTAAAGGAACCTTGGCCCCTAGGAGTTGGCTCCATACAGTTTTGTGTGTTATAATTGGAAAGGAAGTTGCTTGTGTGAGTCACTGATGATTCTGCCTGTACCCTTTCCCGTAATATCTGTCACTAGTTCCAGGGGGCTAGTCCCTATCTCCACTGCTTGATTCCTGCCTGGATGACATTCTCGTTGATGTCCACTGGCCGAGACTGAGGTTTTAGCCTTCTGAGAAGTGTTAAGGAAGGGCTCTGATGAACACAGAGAAAGAATGAATTAAACAAAGATTTTGCTGTTCTACATTTTATTTATTGTGCACTGCCTAGAGATTGATTTAATATGAATGATTTGATCCATTTCCTAAAATAAATAAATACCCTGTGATGAAATAACGATGACAACACATAATTCAAGGGAAAACAAACTATTTGAGTCTTATTCAATCATTTTTCTCCCCTTGAGTTTTGAGTTTCTCTCTGCCTGTCCTACTTTAAGATCTCAAAAGAAGGTTGGCTACTTGCATCCCTTGGCCTCGCTCTTCTTTCCCTTGCTCCAGTTGCTCAGTGCAATGATCTATAAGCTCTCAAAGTTCTATTGTTCCCATTTCTTTGCAAGAATCAGATATGAAGCTTCAATACTTAAGGGAGCACTCAGCTTCCAAACTCTAACTTCAGTACAGAAGAGGTCATATCCATGAAGCACTGCTGGAGCACTTTGTTGAAGTGTCAGATGCTTACCCTTACCTTCTCTGGGTACTTTTACTTTTTTATTGTTAAGACCCTCCATATAATTCAGATCGCTTTCCTTTATGTAAAGCTGGGGTAGTTTATTTTATCTGTAAGTTGAAACTGAAGCAAATTTGAAGTAGTTCCCAAAATTACTAAAAATAACCTTTCACCCAGTAGAATAGAAGGACTATGGTCAAGCTCTGACCTCAAAAGAGAACAGAAAATTCAATGGACTGTCTAGTCCTCAACTATTTTCCAACACTGGAATGAGCAACACAACACGTGTGATAATAAGAAGCAAGAAAAAGCAGGGCCAGCTGTGGATTTCTTGCCACGGGTACAAATGTGATCTACGGTTTTCTACTGTAGATAACTACTTTGGACCATATCCAGTCAAACTGAAAGAACTCTACTCATGTCTCAATGTAGGTTTAAATCTAAGCAGGTGATGTAACCAAAAATTTTACAAGCCTGGTTTGGAAACTATAAATATTTCCAGCTCACAATGCTTAGCTTAATTATAAAGCAAATACATTTACCTTCAAAGGTTCCACTATGAAGCCTAAACCAGGGTTTCCCCTCCCTCTCTCCCTTGTGTTGCAGGTACCAGGAAGCCTAAGGAATAGCTCTCTACCATATATCCAGTATATTTGAGGGAAGGAGTGGGAGGCCTGATATTTGGGCCTGATTCTGCTCATCAGGAGAGCAACACACCCTAAATGTTTCTGGACTCAGGAAGAGAAACAAATATTTTCTGATTCGAGTCCAATTCTTAACTGAATCAAGAAGAGTTCACCAGCCACTAGCTCAAACCACTGCATATCAGACATAATCTATTAAGAAAGCTACATATGCAAACCACAAAACAGTACTAGATGCTTAAATCCAATTACAGAAGGATATAAGGGCACTTGAAACATGCTTTGAAAAATATGTAGATAAAAGTCTTACCACTGACAGTGAATTTGAAAGCAGTGTTCCATCTTGGCCAAGCATATTGGAGACTGTGATTTCAGGTAGGTCCATGTTTTGTGGATGGAATGGAAGCAGGCCATTATGGTTGATCGGGTGACACAGTGAAGGATAACCAGATTCTGTGTCATTCAAATGTACCAATGAATGGTCAGGTAATGAAGGTGGAGTGATGGGAGGTATGTTAAAATCTTCACTTTCTAGACTTGGGCCAGGAAAAGACTGTGGAAAGATGAAAAGCAGAGTTTCAGTTAAAATGCCATGAACCCTAAGCCTTAAGATAGGGTTATCCTTAAGATAGGCAGCAGATAAATAAAAACACTGCAAACTTTAAACAAAATGACCATATTCCCTTTTCAAATCCTATAGAGTATTAAGCAGTCATTTCTGCATTGGAAAAGAGACCATTTTAAACACCCTTACACTGTAATAAAGCAATTGCACTACTGTGTGTAGAATAAAAATTGCCTCAAAGGCATAAAACCTTTGATATCTTCACAGCTTCCATTAGATAGAAAACCCCCTCCCCAGCAGCTGAATTCAAGGGCCCCATTACAATTTTCTCAGAGTCTTGATCAGGTTGAATACCTTTTTCATGCCAGAGGCCTTTCTCTTGGGCATTGTCGGCCAATTGGTGACAAAGAGGGGATAGAACTTTCTTTATGTATGCTACAACAGCAGCAAGAATACTTATTGCAAAGTATTGGAAGACCCAAGATCTACCCACTTTGGAAGAATGGCAGATGAAAGTGATGGACTATATGACATTGGCCGAGATGACAGGCAGAATCCGTGACCAACGAAAAGAGACGGTGGAGAAGAATGGAGAAAATTTAAAAAGTTATCTTAAGGACTACTATAAACTTAATGAATGCTAAATGTTGCGGTTCCCAGAAATAAAGGGATACAGGGATATAAGGGTTAGAAATTTAAAAAAGAACTAAGAAGATAGAGATTGGAAAATAATAATTGGGAGTTGCTAGTGGAACTTTGGACACTGGGATGCAGAGAGGGGGGTATGGGGAAGTCAAAGGAAAGAAGTTTATGAAAATATGTTTGAAACTATACGTGTATGTTTGTCATTTTTGGTGTTTGTTTGTTTTTGTTTAAAAAGTTTCTAAAACCAATAAAAAATTTTATAAAAAAAAAAAAAAAAGAATACCTTTTTCATGGGAACTTTGGAAGTGGAATGCAATTTATGAAATTAACATTGGATCAAAAAGACCTCATAAGATTCCCTGCCACTCAAGAACAAAAATAATAGAAGGGGGGGAGAAGAGAAATATTGTGCTTCAATGTTGCTCTAAGGTGTACAAGAGAAGAATACATTCTTTCAGCTGTACTAGAAGAACCAAATTAACCTAGAAACAGAATGTAAGTCTGTTTCTGATACAGTTACATGGGTATCTACAAGTAGATTCAGCTCTATGCACAGTTGTGGATGCAAATGTTAACCTTACACACATATACAACAATCAAGACTGTTAGTGATATCAACTTGGCCACCCAGGGCCTACAATCTGTGAACCGCCCTGAGATATTATGATGAAGGGTGGCATATCAAACAAACAAACAAACAAACAAACAAACAAACAAACAAACAAACAAACAGTTTTGGGAGTGAATGTGAATGGTGTTGACAGTACCACCCATTGTCCACCCAACAAATTAATGGTGCTGACAGCTCCTACCATCTGTTTGGAGCAGTAGCTCTCATGACTTTCAGTCCAACAACAGAAACTGGATGCAGCCTGGATCCATGTACAAAGTACTGCTTCCATGCCTGCATTATCCAGCTGGATCAAGTTGCATGTTTGTAACCACATTCCAAATTACAATTATTATTATTTTTACATACAAATTAATGTAAAGTCATCCACCTAAACGATAATTTGATTGCATAAGGTTTTTTTTTTTTCTTCCTGCTGGCTGGTGGTGTTAATTAGGCAGATGGTAAATATCCAACAGAAGCAGAGTAATAATTTTCTAAATAACAGTGAACCAACTGAATTATGCTGGATGTCAGCAAGACAAAGGAAAACCCGTTTCTTTTCTTCTTCAAGTGTTCAGAATTATGCTGTGTTTGTTTTCATCAGCACAAAGTCTTGTAAGTGTATTCTTATAACTGAACTATTTTGTGAAAGGCTTGTGCATGAGAAAGAGAGTTGGGTAAGACAGTAGCCTTTGAAACTGTTGTAGCAGCATTAGAACACCTGAAATTATTCTCCCTTCAGGTGCATGTTTACTGAAGCACTGTTTAAAGCAGACTTGCTCAACCTCGGCCCTCCAGGTGTTTTTGGCCTACAACTCCCATGATCCCTAGCTAGCAGGACCAGTGGCCAGGGATGATGGGAATTGTAGTCTCAAAACATCTGGAGGGCCGAGGTTGAGGAAGCCTGGTTTAAAGCCACAGCAACGTGGCTTATAATGCTCAAGTATTCCTGAATGACTAGAAGAACATATACAGGTATAATTTGCTTTCTCCTTTAATTCTCCTATAATTCTATCTCCTTTCAAGCTCTTGCTTCCAATCTGCCTACTTTGTTTCTATTCTGGCCATATTGTGGCCAAGGGGAAACTGCAATGGGCAATGCACTCCGATACCCCACAGAGGGTTGTTGTTATAATTGCTCTCCTTTACTAGCTTAGAAGGAAATATGACTTAGATCAGGGGTTAGCAAGCTTTTTCACCAGGGGGCCAGTCCACTGTCCCTCAGACCTTGGGGGGGGTGTGGACTATATTTTAGAGGGGGGGAATGAACCAATTTCTGTGCCACACAAATAATAATAATAATAATAATAATAATAATAATAATAATTTATTATTTGTACCCCGCCCATCTGGCTGGGTTTTCCCAGCCACTCTGGGCGGCTTCCATAGAAACCAAAAATACACTAAAATATCACAGATTAAAAACTTCCCTGAACAGGGCTGCCTTAAGATGTCTTCTGAATGTCAGGTAGTTATTTATCGCTTTGACATCTGATGGGAGGGCGTTCCACAGGGCGGGCGCCACTACCGAGAAGGCCCTCTGCCTGGTTCCCTGTAGCTTTGCTTCTCGTAATAAGGAAACTGCCAGAAGGCCCTTGGCGTTGGACCTCAGCGTCCGGGCAGAACGATGGGGGTGGAGACGCTCCTTCAGGTATACTGGGCCGAGGCTGTTTAGGGCTTTAAAGGTCGACAGCAGCACTTTGAATTGTGCTTGGAAACGTACTGGGAGCCAATGTAGGTCTTTCAAGACCGGTGTTATGTGGTCTCGGCGGCCGCCCCCAGTCACCAGTCTAGCTGCCGCATTCTGGATTAGTTGTAGTTTCCGAGTCACCTTCAAAGGTAGCCCCACGTAGAGCACATTGCAGTAGTCCAAGCGGGAGATAACTAGAGCATGCACCACTCTGGCGAGACAATCCGCGGGCAGGTAGGGTCTCAGCCTGAGTACCAGGTGGAGTTGGTAGACAGCTGCCCTGGATACAGAATTGACCTGCGCCTCCATGGACAGCTGTGAGTCCAAAATGACTCCCAGGCTGCGCACCTGGTCCTTCAGGGGCACAGTTACCCAGAGATGCATTTTAAGTAAAAGGGCACATTCTACTCACGTAAAAACATGCTGATTCCTGGACCGTCCGTGGGCTAGATTTAGAAGGCGATTGGGCAGGAATCCGGCCTCTGGGCCTTAGTTTACCTATGCATGACTTAGATGCTCTGACCGGGGGGGGGGGCACCACTGAGCTACTCTCCAGAAATTTGTAAGCAATACTGTCAAAGTTGCAATGGGAGAAGGAAAATACATGTGTGCCAAGTTCTGGGAATACATGTATTCCAATCAAAAAAGAAGAAACTAGGATATCCATGAAAGACTGAGAATGCCTTGGGAAAGTCCAAGATCCCCACATTCTGGAAAAGAGAATTGGTCTTCTGTGGGTCAACAGGAGAAGCCCATCAATCCCACCTATAAGGTATAAGGTATGGCTTCAGTATAAGGTATGGCTGCCAGGTTTGACTCAGATACTTGCTAGTAAGTTTGGAGGTGAATTATCAGGATATTCTACTGAAAATCTGTTATACATGCCTTGGATGACTGAGTGGCTTGGAGATTCTAACCCAAACAACCCTTTGCCAAACATATAATCAGTTTGCTTCTTACTGAAAAAACAGCAGGGAAGCACAAGGAATTCTTAGCAACTTGCACTGTATATCAAGGTGAAAGAGCAAAAAGACAACCTTAACATTGTGTCTTTTTTAGAGCTGCCTTATGGCAACATAGAACAAACTAAACCACAAGTTTTAATGCTCTCAGCAAGCTACCTGTGACTATCTCACCTTCACCTTGCTACATGTCACACAGGGCTGGATCCTGAGAATGAGACTCATTATTGGAATGTAGAAAATGAGGGGTATAACCTATTCAAAAGGAATAGACCAAACAGGAAGGGAGGAGAAGCAGCATTATATGTAAAGAATATGTACACCTGTGAGAATATCCATGATTGAGGATGGAGGCAGGTTAAGAGCATCTGCGTAATACTTAAAGGAGAGTGAAATGATGGTGACTTCACTGTGGGAGTCTCACACGCTCACTTATTTCATGAAACTCAATCTATGTTTTGCTGGAGATAGTTTAGACATAGTGGAACTGTGTTATAAATATTTCTCTCGCAACGTAATAGTAAATAAATGTACACTATGTGGAAACTAACAAATTAGATAATTTCTATTTTTCCAATGCTCACTGGAAGGACAGATCCTGAAGCTGAGGCTCCAATACTTTGGCCACCTCATGAGAAGAGAAGACTCCTTGGAAAAAGGCCCTGATGTTGGGAAAGATGGATGGCACAAGGAGAAGGGGACGACAGAGGACGAGATGGCTGGATAGTGTACTCGAATCTACCAGCATGAGTTTGACCAAACTGTGGGAGTCAGTGGAAGACAGGAGTGCCTGGTGTGCTCTGGTCCATGGGGTCACGAAGAGTCGGACGCGACTAAATGACTAAGCAACACAACAACAACAACATTTTTCCAACTGTGTCAATGAACTTATGAAAGCCAGAACCCTACATCCCACCACTAATTTAAAATACAACTGAGATATGTCAATGTATTTGCCTACAATATCAGGTCTTGGGACAGAACAGTATGCTATATCCTATAGGATCCAGTCATTTACATTTTAACAAATTATCAGGTTCCAGTATGTACTGAAGGTCAGCAATGTGAGTGAATTGCC